ATGATGGTTTCATATACAGTCCAGCATTGGGCTGCTCTGTTAAACTTGTCTCTGTTTAATGTTATTTCAGCTTCAAACCCTCTTTAACAGTATAATAAGTTCCATATGTGCTGTTTGTGATGGAGTAGGAGGTGCATAGACTATTTTAACACATAAACTGGAATTAAACTGGGAAAACGCTGCATTACTGATTGTGTTTTTATAGTTTGGTCATTACTGAGATTTCCACACCAACAGGAACAAGGATGGATTTTTATCTCTGCAGCCCTGAGGCCTTCCTCCTCTGTGGAGATATCGGATAAAGTTATTTAGAAACATTTGCCTCTCTCCCTTATGGAAACACTGTCTCAGCATCAAATATAAAGAGAAGTTTTCCACCCTAAAATGGTGGTTAGATATTCTCAGTGTCAACAACAGCAAACCTGCTGAATATAGGTCACAACTAGGGATGCAAGTTATCCATTAATGAGCTAATCTAAGGTTGAAAGGGTCTCACCATCCATGGGCGGTTCGAAAGAGGGATCCAACAAATCAGTTTGTTAGATTCATATGCGCTGGCACAGCAGCTGTGTGATTGGTCTGTTGCTCTAATTTCATTTTTTACCTTAAAATGAAGCTGTTGCAGTGTTAGCTTTAGCTGCATGAGATAGGATCAGAACTATCCTTTTGCCCTTACTGTCTTAATATATTAAATGATGCACAATTTCTCTCCATTTATCTATGTGTCTTTACACCACTTTCTTCTTATTTGTTACTTTTTCTTGTCTCGCTTTACCTGGTGTAACTAAAACTTTTCCACTTGAGGAATCCTGGATAGAGCGTATTGATAGATTTTTTTTTTGTTGCTCTTTTTTCATCTTATATGCAAAATGTTTTTATTTTTTACAATTTGGGTGTAATTACTGCTCTAAGTGGGTCGCTCTGTTTAAGAGTCTATATTCTAGTCAATGATTAATCTGTTATTAAATTAGATGACAATTGTTTTAATAGATGATTAATCCATTAAATTGTTTCAGCCCTATGTTCATGCCACTAACTGGTATGAAGTGTGGAACTAAATGTTTGAATTAAAAATACTTTTCTTTACTTGTTTCTGTTAAAGTTTCTATAAAACTCTTAAAATGACCGTAAATTGTTCCTTCCAGATGTCCATATATCTACCTGCATTTTCTTTGACAGAGAGCAAAAAAAAAAAAAGCAGACCGAAGGAATTTGGAATCTCCTGCAGATGGATGACATGAAGTATGCAAATTAGGATACAATGACAATCATCTAGCCTTTGAGGACAACCAATAGTGACTTTTCTTGCTGAGGACTTGGCACCCTGGTCCATGCACGGCCATGGTGCAGGGGTTAATCACGTAACACATGTACAAAGGTTCTTGATGCGGCCATCACAGGTTCGAGTCTCGGCCTGGTGATCTTGTCGCCTGTTGACTTTTAATGGGCATTGCAGCTGCAGAAATTATGTTTTTAAATACATTTACCTCTATTTGTACATAGTAAAAAAAACATAAACCCTGTGCCCTCAGACTTTGTCATCGACTCTCCCTTTCAAGGGATTAAAAGTCATGTAAATGCATTCTCTACCGCCCACCCAACAGAGACACAGCTTTGAAAGCAGGTTAGGAAGGATTCTTAAGCAGCCGGCCTGTACAGGAGAGCGGAGAAGCTCGCCTATTCACCCAGGCCAACAATCCCCTTGAACGACTGACCTTTCATAGACATAGACAGGTATGGGGCATTTCAGGCTAACAAAAGAATCCAAATGACCCCCATTCCAAAGGGGTGGACCCGTTCGTCTGTTCCATTTTGCATGTTTTCAAAACAAAAACAAGGTTTTAATGGGCTACTTTATTAAACCTCAAACTCTTCTGACATTTAGAATTAAAAAAGGAGTAAATTAGGAATAGAATTTAGCAAATAACAAATAAATAAAAAGGAAAAATAGGATTTTTCTTTAGATTTTTCACTGAGTGATAAACTCTGGTTGTTTTCTTCCTTGTCAACAATAAATGCTGTTTTGTTCTGAAGCTCGATTGATTGATTGTAATGAAAGAATGTTTCTAATAATGTACAAAGTAATCAGTTATTTTTATCGCCAATTGAACGGTGAGTATATCATTGCTGCGTGTTTCCTCTCCTAATTCAGTCCCTGTATGCAGTTGATTCTCTTTAATCAGTGTTTAGAGTCAACATGCAGCAGGTTTCTCACCTTAATAAGGAGTGAATCCTTTTTCTTAACATTAGATCAGGATGTCAGGCTGTTGGCTTTATATCTGAGGGTTAATTCTTCTGTTTACGTTTTGCTGATAAGTTTTTATTTCTTTTACACCCCCTCCCCCCACTTCCCTGTCTGGAGCAGAGGTCTTAGTGGAGTATGAATATGACGCGCTCCACGATGACGAGCTGACCTTGCGGCCCGGTGACATCATCAGGAATGTGTGTTACATCCAGGAGGAGGGCTGGATGGAGGGAGAGCTCAACGGGAAGAGAGGAGTCTTCCCAGACAACTTTGTAAAGGTGGGCCGCTGTGACTGTCATCATGTTCCATGATGTGGTTCCTGTGCTGTTCTGATTTAAAAACTAAAAAAATAGTTACAATCAAAACCATATTTGGTTTCTGCTCAGATTGTTCTTGTTCTGATTGCAGTATTAAATTATTATTGTTCCAACATTTTCTTTCATTGAATTTAGACTTGTGCAACATTTATCATCAATGTCTCATTTTAGTCATATAACTGGAGGTCAAGCTCCATTAGAAATATATGTGTTTTTACATTTTTGCTCTTAAAAGAAGTAAAGCAGGAGTGTGTGCACCATGGTTCTGTTCTGGAAGGGCTGTTCTCCTATCAGGATCCATGTTCTTAAAATGCAGGCCTTAAATGTATAATAAGGACTACAGAAAATAAACATGGCTGAGCAGTAAAGGGTTCGAAGTGAGTAACACATAAATAAAAATGTTAGACATAAGGACATTATCTGCAGCTGGTTGGAATGAGGTTTAAAGTTGTCATGTTTCGTCTGAGTAGATATAAAACTGCTTATTTTTATATCAAACAGGGATTTTCTAAAACAAATAATAAAAAAATAATAAACAGGAATTATTACAGTGATTTAATATTTAAAAAAAAAAAATCAACAATTCTTATACTTATGCTTTTAAAAAATGTTAACTTTGATGTCATAATGCTAATTTTGTCTGCTGGGTTTTTTTTATTGCTTCAGTAGGGATCATATAACTATATATTTGTATGTGGATATTGCCTCTGTTTGTTATTTAAAGCAGCCAGAGATGACGTTTGAAACGCGGCTATAAAGATTAAATCAATTTGTTTAGAATTGGATATATAACAATAAATATGGAAAGCAGCTGAGCGCTGATAGTCCCTCTAATATGTTGCTAAATTTACTACATAACTTTATATGCCAGTTTCTTTTTCAGAAAATATTAAGATAATTTAGCATAAACTTGAAGTGTGAAATTTCTTTAAAAATCTACATTTTTATAAATTTTTTTCTTGTATTAAAATTGCAATTATTTATTCCAGTTTTCATTTTGAGGCCCTTGATTAGCCGTGCAGTGGTACGGATTTTGGACTTTGGTCTCCATAATGATAGGGGTGGACAGTTAATTGCATTTGCAATATAATCGCAATTTAGAAAAATGGGATCTTGAAATCGCAGAGGCAATTTTAGTCACAATACATTTAATAAGAGTAAGACGCTAAATGTCGCACAGAAGGGAACAGAGAGTTGCAGCTAGCACCTAGATGTATGCATTATAGTAGAAGTAAGAACTTTTTCATTCAAATATTAGAGATAAGTCCTGCAGCTCTGGATTCTGGACAAGCAGGCTATCAAGATCATTTAAAACCTGAAACCCTGGAGTAAACATCAACATGCTTGTGCTTAAAGCAAAGGAAAATCACACAGGGTTTCCTCGGGTCATTCAAAATCATGAAAAGTCATTAAAGTATTATGTTTTAAATTAAGGCGATATATTTGCGCGGAAATTCTTACGGTTGATCATAAAGCCGTATGTCTGGAAAAAAAGCTTGAGGCGGAGAAAAAGCTAGAGAATGGGAAAATGCTAATTTCAAAGCGGCTGGAAAAAGAAGAATTTGGGACATAGCTGCAGCCTGTCGACTGTAAAGATGACAAGATTTTTGCTGTGTATATATGATAGTCATGGGTTGATGGCATTAAGATTATTTCTAAGAGCTTTAAACAGCATAAATAAGAGTTACTCATTCCTGTATACAGCCTGTCACAATAAAATCGCAACATTGGTTCAAAATAATCGCAGTTTTTATTTTTGGCAAAATTGTTCAGCAATTGTCTCCAATCATGGCTGATCACGAGAAAATCATCCAATTTCTGAGGGCTACCAGTCGAGCCTACCATGAATGCTGTTCTTTCATTGGTCTGTTGTTGCTGCATAGAAAATTCCCTTCCTGTTAGCTAGCATTTACAGATCTACGCATCTTGTTAAAGGAATCATAATTAGGGCTGGGTATTTTTGCCAAAGTCCTGAATTGATTCGATTTTGATTCATACATTTCTAAATCGATTAATTTCGATTCGATCTGTTTTTACTATAATGAAAGTGATTCAACTGTGTTTCAAAATACTTGTGTATT